ATACTAGGGCTACTCAAGCCCAAAACTCTTCCACATCATACACTGATCGGAGAACATTCCATCATCACACTCTCTTGCCATCTAGTGAGCACTACGGCTCCCCGCGGTATCACAGCACCCTCTGACTAGTGAGTACTACGGCTCCCCGCAGTATCACAACACCCTCTGACTAGTGAGTACTACGGCTCCCCGCAGTATCACAACACTCTCTGACTAGTGAGTACTACGGCTCCCCGCAGTATCACAACACCCTCTGACTCCACTAGTTCGTGCTCCACAGACTATCATAGGCGGCTACCCATACTCGTCTCGAATATTCATCACAGACTCTGGAGGCAATCGTCATAACAGATGTCCACCCTTACGAAGATCCACTCTCCCAAGTAATCTCCCTGGATGCCCATACTCGAAGGCTCTCACTAGATCCATAGATACCTGATATACCACAAGTCGTCTCAACTCAAGATTCACGAATAACTTCAAAATAAAGATATCAATACCCGGATACCTCGGAACACCCCCACCGAACATCACAAGATCCCGCCACAACCACAGATCTCCTGCCCCAAGCACCATATAGATGCAATAATACATTCCCTCTGAACCCCATAACTAGATCTTCATTTTTCTCAAGTTGCAACTTCGGTGTATTCAATTTCTCAATTGCAATACGAAGAAACGCTAACACTACGAAATACGCTGATAATTCTCCGAAACCCTTTTTCCCGCCGCTCAAAATCCAAACAAGGATACGCATACTGACCCGGGAGTTGGCTGCCCAATCATTCTTTATCTACTTGCCCCAACACTGACCAATACCAGATTCCTGACTAAAAAACACCTGTCGTGGAGACATTCATCCTTCTCAAACAAGTACTTCCCGCATTAACTCACTCTGACCCCTTTCCTCGATCACCGACATCTCTGGTCTCATGATTTCTTACCGCATATCTCTATACTCCACTTATAACTGCTCTTGACAAATCTCTGCTTTCTTACATACGGCACCCGGTTCTCCCCCACTTAGGGTTCGAACCATCACCAAATAGCACGCAACTAACCCATAACTATATTCTCCAGCAAAATCGCACCGGCCCCCGGAAGGTGCTACACAACGCCCGATAATCCCCCCTTAAGGAAATGAATCGACCTCATATACTATGAACCTCTGGTGAACTCCTCAAGAACTTCTCGTCACGTCTGCCTCTAGTCGTTCCAAATCTCGTACCAATTTAGTACCAAACAGCTCAACTGCTCGATAACATTCCTGGCTCATAGACTGAACCATAAAATCATCGTACCCCTCACCTCAACTCATCAACCAACACTCCAACACCGTGTTCATCCCAAGAACAGGTACTCACTCCCAGATTCAACACCCCATGGATAGAAAACTCTCTGCACCGCTGAACTCGACTGAACTCCCCACTGATACCACTACAATACCTCCTACTATGCTCAAATAGGTGTAGTGTGGTCCTCACACATCTTAGTCCCAACTGACTATCTGCTCATGATAAATCACTGCCTCGCGGCACACCTGCTACCTGATACTCTGGTGGGAAATCATCATCAATGACGACCTGCAGGGTTTACCCCTAAACCCAAAACCAAAACATCATGCTTCTCATATTTCACACGAGCATAATCAGTACCTCCCAGATCATAGGAGGTGACATCTCCTTTATCGACTGATTGCCCAACACAGATCGAAATTCTCCCTTCTCACTGACTCCTTACTAAAATACTCTGAGGGACTCTCGATCTCCCTCTCACGGGACGCCTCAACGAACTTACTCATGACCGAATAACCGGAGAACCACAAACATACTTCACTACGACCCATGGTACTCATTTCATGACATCTCTTCTCAATATGCCCCGGTGTATGGTACCCTAACCATAACATCACTCCCCAATCCGCTCCGATGTATGGTACCCGGACCATAACATCACTCCTCAATTCGTTCCGATGTATGGTACTCGGACCATAACATCACTCCTCCATCCGCTCCGATGTATGGAACCCGGACCATAACATCACTCCTCAATCTGCTCTGATGTATGGTACCCGAACCATAACATCACTTCCTCAATCTGCTCTGATGTATGGTACCCGAACCATAACATCACTCCTCGATCGGCTCTGATGTATGGTACTCGAACCATAACATCACTTCCTCAATCTGCTCTGATGTATGGTACCCGAACCATAACATCACTCCTCAATCTGCTCTGATGTATGGTACTCGAACCATAACATCACTTCCTCAATCTGCTCTGATGTATGGTACCCGAACCATAACATCACTCCTCAATCTGCTCTGATGTATGGTACCCGAACCATAACATCACTCCTCAATCGGCTCTGATGTATGGTACCCGAACCATAACATCACTCCTCAATCGGCTCTGATGTATGGTACCCGAACCATAACATCACTTCCTCAATCTGCTCTGATGTATGGTACCCGAACCATAACATCACTCCTCAATCGGCTCTGATGTATGGTACTCGAACCATAACATCACTTCCTCAATCTACTCTGATGTATGGTACCCGAACCATAACATCACTCCTCAATCCGCTCCTTAGAACCTTCAGAATGCTCCCTGTATCAAGTATGGGTCCTCTGCTTTCAGTAGTACGGGCCCATACTACCTGCCACATCTACCCATACTTTCCACACGGACCATCCCAGAGCTTTTAAATAGCTGCTCGACCTGCTCTTTCACCAATCCCATCGCGCGTGCTCGCTCCCCAGCGAAATTCTCTATTCTACAAGCGCACTCACCTGGATCGGGTTACTCCCTAAGCTCTTTCGTTGTCCTCCCACTTCTTTGCTATCAGCTGCTGAAGAGCTCCTAATGATGCCAGCCATCTACCTCCTGAATATCGTCATATTCACTTGGTAGCTGACTCCCATCATCGAGAGTTCCACAAAGCACAAAGCAAGCAGCATTCGAGCATCGAAGAATACATAGGACTCCCTCTCTGTGATAACTCCACCTTCTCGGCTCATCCTCGAAAGTACCACCAAACTCTGTAACTCTACCCCTCATGGGTTCTAACTGGATACTCTCACTCATCACATACTCAAAAGCATAACACATATAACAACGAGTCCTAGACTAAGGCATCACAAATCAGGCCACTCTAGTCCTAACATATGAAATACCTAGACTGTCTCTAGCATGCAATATTATCTCATAAGGTGCATCATAAATATCTCATAACACAAAAAAAATAAGGGTATTTTGGGAAATCACCGTTCGGGCTCAGGCTGATTGTACACACTGCTCTTTCTTGCTTCCTCTTTGAACCCTTATTCATTTTTAGAAAATTATTTCCTTAAAACTTTTCTTACTTCCTCAGTTTGAGTCCAGATTTACCCGAAGGCGCATCCGAATCCCTCAAACCAAGGCTCTGATACCAACTTGTAACACCGTAAATTTCAAGACAAAATTTTCATTTAAAATAATCATTTTATTCTTAGAAACACTTGTTTAAAATCTCATTCATAGTCGATTTACAAAACATGACTCCATTTTCACTTGCATAGAAAACCAGGATCCTCCAAAATATGACTCTTTCTCTGGTGTGTACAATCAAGCCGGTGCCGTCCCGTGATACTGAAAGAAACCTGAAAAAAACATCACACAAAACACTGTAAGCACGAAGCTTAGTGAGTTCCCCAAAATACCACACATAACACATATTAGCCACTCGAGGCTATAACTCTATGGGTCCGTGCACCCAAACTCTGTGAACCCTCAGGCTCTAACTCTGGGAACCTTCCGGTTCCAACTCTATAAACATGCACAGCATAAATCACATAGAAATAATGCAGTACAACACATCACGTACATATAGCATACAAATACTCTGAACACATAACTCTGGTTACCTACTCAAGGTAAAGTATAGTGAGAAGACTCACCTGGCAAGCAGAAAGCAGATATCCCCACACTGGAATCTCAAACTCGCCACCGCCTAACACGTAAAGCAAATATTCTCATGAATATAACTCTCGAGACTAGAATAAATCCTCTCATAACACCCTCTCATGGGTAAAAGACTAGTTTACCTCTCTCTTGGCCCAAAGGCCACATCGCTGACCAAACCCTAAAAGTCAACGACCAACCCTTGGTCGAAATCAAAGTCCTCAGTCTAAGTCAACCCCTGACTGACCCTACTCGTCGAGTCAACTCTGTGACTCGTCGAGTTCCCATAATCAGAACTTCATTCAATCTGCGACCTAACTCGCCGAGTCACCCCAAGACTCGCCGAGTCCAACAACTCTGAGTCCACTCGCACTCGACTCACCGAGTCATCCCTCAACTCACCGATTCTCGACTCTACCAGAGAATATTTGGGACTCTTCGACAAGACTCGCCGAGTCCAAATGGACTCGTCGAGTCCAAGGCTATCTTCAACCTACTCGCCGAGTTGTTCTTCCAACTCGTCGAGTTCCAGGCCATCTGCAAGCAACTCGTCGAGTCTACCCATGTGACTCGCCGAGTACCACCGTTCTGAATCCATTCAGAAGCACTCCAGGCCATGCAATTGATCCAAAACATAGATCTAGCCTCCTACAACCCATCCATCACGTAAAGTGGCAAACTTTACGTGAATCCAAAGAGATCTAAGCCGTTTGCACATTGGGCTAGGATTTGGGACAAGATGACTCCATCAACCACTCACAAACAGGGACTTTCATGCACTCTAGACCTTCTCCCTTCCAGATCTGAGGTAGCAACCTCAGATCTAACCTCTAAACTCCAATACATCCAAAGATATGATCTCCAACATCCCCAAAATGATGCATCTAAGAAATAGCAGCTCAAAAAACGAGATATTACCTCAAAGGAATGCCCTAATTGAAATGAGACTCGAATTCAAACAAAGCCCCTTGCTCCAAGCCTTCAATCTCCCAAAATTCCTTCACAAATACATTCTCCAAGCTCCACTCCATCCAACAATGGTGCTTCTTCGTGATTTAGGGGTTTCTGGGGCTCAAGGGGTGATAAAGAGGCTAGGAGGGAAACATAATGATCTTTATATAAGGCTCAACCCCGAAAATTAGGGTTTTCTCCACTCAGCGCCTACTCGCCGAGTCCATTACCCTGACTCGCCGAGTCGGCCACTTAACACGCGACCAAGTCGCGACTCTACTCGCCGAGTCCGCACATGGACTCACCGAGTCACTTTTTCCCAATTTACTCTTTTAGCCCTTCAACTCTACTCTTGATATTTCGGGATGTTACATACAGGGTTAAAATTGTAAATTCTCACCAGTATAAGCAACTGAGGCTGCTTTCTTTGTGCATATCCAAGAAGATCGGAGAGTGGCTCAAAGAATAAGTTGTCAATCGTGGTGTAAGGGTCTGAAGCAATAATCTGCTCAAAGATGACATGGATAGAATCAAAGAGAATCTGGATACTAGAAAAAACCCATGAAGAAAGTAAGGAATAAATAAAATAAAAAAACATACTTGAACTATTGTAAACTGAAATGTTTCTTCTTCTTCAGGTCGTGCCCTACGTATCCAAACCCTCTGCTTGTAACCATTCTAAATCCCAAAATAAAGAATTATAAAAGAATTTGTTGATAAAATATGGTCAGTTTAAAATGAAGAAACCAACCTCCTCAACATTTAAAGTGCTTCTCTCCTTGTGATTTAGTAAAACACGATATGTTGAATGGTGGAAAATTCGCCTGAATCGCTCAAACTGCATGAACATGAACATGAACAAAAAATAATTCGATTAATGATAGTAAGATACAGATATTTTGAAGAAAAAAAAGTTTTATGTTAATTACTAACCTGTCCCAAATCAAAAGAAGGACCGAAATACAGAGATCTTTCAAAAGCATCAAATCCAGCAAACTGCAATTCATGTTAAGGTCAAAAATTATTTAGAAAAAAGAACAATTGGATTCAAGAAATAGGAAGTAATTACCATTTCCAGTTTAGTCAATCAAACATCTCACTCACTGACTCACTGAGTCGGTCAGTATTACACTACATCATCTGATATGGTGGTTCAGAATATGAATAGATTTGATTATGTCGATGATTGAATCCAATATAAAAATGAAATATCTCCAATCACACAAAAAATCTGGATCCAAAGGGGGGGGGGGGGGATGAACTAGGGTTAGAATCGAAGGAAATATCTTTAGAATTAAAGACAAATTTTAGGAAATAACCTACCTGAGCAGCTTTGTATGAGTATATGGTAGCATCTTCTAAGTCGTTTGCTTTGATTTTTCTTAGATCAAATTCTTCTCCAAACCCTATTAGTTGTTGGTACCGATTTTAGGGTTTCACATAGAACAAGAAAGAGGTGGTGATGGAGAAGATGGTAGTGTGGTGATGGATGGTAGGAATGGTGGTGATGGTCGATTGTGTTGAGGTTGTAGGTGGTGAGATGTAGCTACGACGACCATGGCGGTGGTATGGAAGGGAACTAGAGAGAGAGAGAGAGAGAGAGAGAGAGAGAGAGAGAGAGAGAGAGATGGTGGTGAGTCTGATGAGGTGAGCGTTCCCATTGAAGGAGGAGACGCAAGCGGGGTTTTTAATTTTTTTGATTTTATTCCCCCCAAAAAATGAAAACGCGCGCTCATAGACTAAAATTATAAAGCGACAGGGTAACACGACGCGCTTTTTAGGATAGGTGCCCTCTGTGTTTTTTTTTGTTGGACACTAATTTTAGGGTGCACAAAAATGCGTGCCCTCTATCCTTCAAATTTTCCAGAGCTGACATTATTTTTTAGGGCACGCACAAATCGCGTCCTCTATCAGCGCGCGTCATTAAAGGGCTATTTTCTAGTAGTGTTGGTATTTACCATGGATATTTGGTATAGTCAATTGTTTCATTATATCATCTAATATACTAAACAACCATTCAATAACGTTTCACACTATGTTAAAAATGTCATTAACTAGAGATTAATATTTTCCTCTATTTAAAAAGGTTGTATGAATATTGCCTCAAACACAATCAATATCATCTACCTCATGAAAAAACATCTTGTGTGTTACATATCGTATCATACTTTTTCAGCATATCACTTGATTGTGTCTATGTGCCTAGTTTATCATTTTAGTTACAAACAATATCCCAAATTACAATGTTTTGGTTCACTGTAAGTCAAAAGACACTCATGTTGGAGATAAATAGATCTTATAATCAATAATTCCATTGCCAATTTTGTAATTTGTATGAACTATTTCCACCCAACACTCTACTTTTGTCATTTCTATTGGGGTGAAAAGAATAGATTTTTGATGTTTAAAACACCACATGGATACGACTTAGATAAAGGGGATAATAACCCTTGTAATTGGTTAGTTAAAGAAGATGGGTTTTACCTTCATAATTTCTATAAGAGTGTTTGGGGAAAAGAATATGATTGGAGACCAATCGAGAAGCATATTAATGATATAACGTTTTATAGTTTTTGATTTGTCATTACAAACTCTATACTATTCTCCTTGAATTTTTTTTATCGCAACTATATGTTTATTTAAACTTAACGATGGTTTAGAGTGCAGTCATATTTAATTCCTACTAGTTTTTAAGATCAACTCGCTTTCAAATTGGTGATTTTATACATGAGCACAATAAACAAAACAAAATTCAAGTTAGGGATAAGAATAAATGAACACAACTGATGATCAAAGCCAATATCATAACAAGTTGCCGATCACTGAATATAAAGGAAGCTCAAAACGGATCATATGAATGGAACGCACCTTCAAGTCTAGTGAATCAATCTTATGTGATTTGGTTGTATTTTGGCTTTTAAATTTTATGCTAAATATCCTTGATAATTTAGTAAAAAAATAACAGAAAAAAGCAATCTAATGAAGAGATATCAAAACGTTTCTTCAACATTATGTTAGACATTTGTTGTATTTAGACAAAGGTTATACTAAAAAACACATTACAAGATATGCCTCGAAGCTCACTCCTCGTGTCCTCTTGATCCTTGAAAAAGTTCATGTTTCTGAAAAATTCGTGCTCTGACTTCCACTCCCAAGTCTATTAGCATCTGCCTGTGGATCTATATGATCAATCCCCTGAACAGTTGTAAACGCAAAACTAGAAGTTAATCCAAAGGTATCTCCACCACTTCTATATTGTTTATCTTTGCCCTTAATTTTTGGCAAATTAACAGCGACTTTGCTTAGAGAAACGGATACACGAAGCTTCCCACATCCAGCTTGACCAAGTATACCATATCTTTCTCCTAGTTCATCCCCTAAGGCTGGAGGGAGTGGTGCTACCGAAACCGTACTCCCTCCCCTGCCACATAAGCGTCATGTCATTTTTTGCCATACAAGTGTGGTTTCTTGCCACATCAAGAGAGTGGTGCCATACTTTTATTTATTTATTTATTTTAGCTATTTTAGTTAAAACTTCTTTTTTAATAAAAAAAACATAATTTTTCATTACTTGAAAATTAAAAAAAAAAACATTAAATTGAAAATTCAAAAAACATTACATTGCATTACCAAAAAAAATGAAAACACACACATGACATTAAAATAATCCTAGAAACTTAAAAAACACAAATAAAATAACTAAAGCAAACTACATAAAGTCGTTTTCCGAGAACTCGTCTTCGGAGTCATCTGGTGGATCCAAATTAAGGTTAATGTTTTGAACCCCGTAAATGTGTTCCACCAAGTCATTGTGAAGATTGTGAAATGTTTCAGTGCAACGTATCTCTGCTCTCCAGTTCATATACTTTTCGCCACCAATTTCTATTGGTTGCGTCTCTGGTATGGTTTCTTTCTCGTCAAACACACATATTGCTCTTCCTTCGTCTTCAATAATCATGTTATGCAATATGAGACATGTATACATGATTTCTTGAAGTTTTTCCTCGCCTAAATGAACTGCTAGTTTTTTCAATATGAACCACCGTTAATATGAACGATTAAGAACGTTGATGCCGTTAATCAAACCAGGAGAACCAAAAAAAGCATGCAAAATCCACATATCTTGTGATACAACTACTTCAAGTATGACTGTTGGGTGACCATGATCACCTTGGGAAATTGCCCATGATATGATGTAGGGCAATTTTCACATGCCTAATGGAGAGAATCTAAGCTTACTAGTATTCCAGGAAACCATGCACACTAGCATGACAAACTTGCAATTGCACGATGTCATGGCATGTAGGCTTACATAAATATTTTGGGACATAAAACTGAATCACAGTTGTGTAGAAAAAGTGGAGGCTATCTCGTGCAATCCTAGCAAACATCCTAAATCTTTCGTCTAACGCATCAGGCGGAATGCCATATGCTAACTGACGAAGTTCAGCCGTGCACTTTTGTAAGGGAGTGAAACCGGGTGTACCTCTTGCATCTTAGCGTTGTTGAAAAAAACTGCACTCGCTCGTTACATCTTCAACTATACGTTCTTATAAACCTATAAACATTCTGAAGCGCCTATGAAAATAGTACCCTTGATAAGTGGCATTCTCTTGAAAATAGTCTTGCACCAAACGTTGGTTGGCTTCTTCATGATTTCTGAAAATATATCTCCATGTTCTCCGTTGAGAACTTGCAGCTGCGTTATTGCATAAAGTATCGTATGTTTTTTCCGTAATTTGAGCACACACAACATCGGCTTCAAAAATAGTATGAAATTATTCAGAAGATGAAGAAGATGACATTTTTGAGAGAGATTGGTGATTTTTTTTAAAAGATTGAGAGAGAAGAGGTTGTATTATGGTTAAAACCAAATGAAGTGTATCATCATTATCTTACATACTTATAAAGATTGCATTTTCCCTTGATTGTCATGCATTTGAAACCCCCACAATAATTTGCTAAAACCTCATGCATTTGAAACCCCCAAACCTTTTCACCTTCTTAATAATTAATCACACATAATCAATGGTAATTCATATGAGATAATAATTTGTTAAAACCTCATGCATTTGTATGGTATTAGAACATGTTTGAGTTTTTGGGTTTTAGACTTTAGTAACTGGGTAATCCGTTTGATACGTTGGATTTGAAGCTATCTTATTTGAATTACTCAAAACAAGAGATAAATTAATAATATATGCTGATGCATGTTTTGTACAAGCTCCAATCAAAATACAATATATCATGATCATACAACTAAGTATCTTTTATTCCATTTTTGGCTTTATAACAAAAGTTTGTTTACGTGGCGAAGAAAGAAAGCTTGAAGATGAATATTTAGGTTGGATGTTTATATAAGATTTGTTTTAAATTTATAATATAGATATAAATACACAAATGTGTGTCTTCCATCACAAATTTAATGTTATAAACTACAATATAACTGAAAGTGGTTTTCCAAATATAATGTTTATACTATAATACAATATACTAGGTTATAACCCGTGGAAACCATGGTTCGCAAAGTAAAATAACATCCAAATTATAAAAATTAGTAATCATTATTAATAGATTTGCAATCATTAAGTTTTTTAAAAAATTTAATAGGTTAACCGTAACTATATCATCTTTATTTTAAATTAATATGATCATGTTGTTGATGGAGGAAATATAGAAAGGATGTCTTCTCACCGGTCCCTAACAATAAAAAAAGTTTATTAGCAAACATGAAATAAACTGAATCAAATTCATAAAACCCTTCGATCACAATTCATGTAATTGTGTAACTATTAGTTTAATTTTCTATTCTACTAAATCTCCCCAAATACGATTTAACAATTTCCTTCCTTAAATGTAAATTGAGATTATATCTTTCAAAAAGAACCAAACGAATTGTAACACTTTAGCTTAGGAAGAATAAATGACGCACTTACAATAATAGAAGCTAATAAACTCACATCGTTTAGATGCCTTTATAGTTACATTAACGAAGGCTAAGAGAATTCCCATGGTTAGAGGTGGACATGTAAAAGTTACATTAAATAAATAATTGTTCCCTTTTGGTTTAGT